TATATATATATATATATATATCTATTTATCTCAATCTTTTTATTTCCAAACCTAAACCGATCACCAAAGCCCATCACTCCAAATTCCCGGAACGGGGATCGAGACTGTAAAATCCTTGAAGGGGGGCGGGGTACCTGATCCCTTCCTTTCTCCGTCCTGTCCCATTGATAAATAAATATCCCTTTGAAATATTTTTTTTTCTTAATTTTATAAGAATTATTTTGAAATTTCAATTTATTAACTAACAGGTCTTTATTTACATTACTTTAATAGCATGTTTGATGTATTGTATTAAATAGAATTAAGTGAGACAACAAATAATTTGATCACTTAAATCGACTTGGACTAGTCTATAGCTTAGTAGATTTGCATTTATGATAAGGCCTAAGAGTATGAGTTGGGTTGGGACGTGCATCAATATTAGAGCCCTACGTACTTCTATTTTTATTCAATATTATATACAAAACATGCACTTTCGTACGCAAAATTTATGGGCCATTAAAGCCCATGTGCATTGAGATGATGGAAGGCCAAGATGCCTCTTATGTTGCAGATAAACTTCACATTGCATCACTTATAATCACTTGTGTTCATTATATTCAAATTGCTAGCTAGTATGAGAGTGTGAGGGGCGCGACCTCCTCCACTAGGAAGTATTCTTTAGAAAATATGCAAGTTTAGATGTAAAGAAAAAGTCTCATACATCGAGAGACATAGAAAATACAATCAACTCTATTTTTAAAATACTTAATGATTATCTAGGTGACAAAAATAACCTAACCACCAGAAGACACGAAAATCTATATATTTTTATAAACTAGTTAAATAAAATGTTATAATCATCTCAATGAATTGTGCTATCGTCGTGGTATATAAATTGAGATACCTAGTAACCTTTTGAGTTTTGGAGGTAAACTTACAGAAAAATTTTAGCGTTAAGAGTTCAGAAAGATCAGAGCGAACACTAATGTGATAGCTTTAATATGAAAATATATTTCACTTCCAATGCTCTGTTACGAATTAGGCCGACTTTCATAATTACCTTTTTTTTTTTTTTTTCCTCATCAAAAACCCTTTCACTAGCTGTTGATGGTTTAGTAAGTTTGAACTTATAGTGGAAGAGAAAGTAGTTGTAATTGCTTGAGTTCAATAAGTTAAAGTTGGTTTGTTTGGTAATGTTTGTCCAACTAGTCAAAGAAAGTGCAATGCTTGGAGAGGCAAATAGAGATGAAAACGAAAGGCAAACTTGACACTAATATTATTTTTAGGAATTCTTATATAATATAATCTATATATTCTACAGAAAATACTCTTGAGAATTCTAGAAGCACAAATTTTAAAACCTATTGGTACACATTTTTCAAATGTAATTGATATTTGATGATGAAAGATAGGAGTTTTATTGGAAAGTCATTCTCAGGCACTGAAAAGTCAAAGTCCAAGTTCTTTGAGATAGGTCAAAATAATGAGTAAATAACAACATTAAAAGTTAGAGAATTTTCAGACTAGTCTCAAACTATATCCCTTAGCTCTCCTGGGTACCTATTGAATTTTTGTTTTTAAATAATCCCCGAAGTTTTGATTGTTGGTTCACGTAGATCCATTAGGAAGAACAGAGTTGGAAAAGTTGCTAAACAGTCGTGTGCTCTACACATGATCTCATTTTTCGAAATTATTTCTTCAAGACAAATTAAGGAGACAAAAGAGAAGATAATAGAATAAAAGAAAAAAACAAAATAAATAATAATCTGTTATCGAGGGATTTCAATCACAAACATAGTTTATGGATGACCAAAGAATAAAAACAAATAAACACATCTTCTCAAATCCTTATTATTATTTTTTTTTACTTATTGTCACTGTCAACTTCATCGTCTGCCTCACCCCAAACTCCCTCTTGTTTCTTGGGAAACCCAAGAGAAGGACAAATAGAAAAAAAAAAATCAAAATAGAATAAAACCGTATACATCCCTTGCCCGATCCTTCCACTTCGTCCTATTGCCTCCAATTACTTCACCACTTTTTCTTCTGTGTTTAAAGTAATCAGATTCAAATCAAGTGACCATTTCATGGAATTTTCGACAGTCCGTCCAAAAGGACACATGTCTACCAAAAATCAAAATCTGAAGATTTAAAAAATCAAAGAAACTTGAATATGGATCCAATTGCTCAAAGTGTGTAATTTGGGGACTGAGGTAGCAAATTTTCCAAAATCCATTGGTAGTATTTAGTAAACAAAAACACTAATTCAATCATATAACAAATTAATGGAAGGCTTAACAAGAATTGCTTTTCTCTGTAATTTAATTTTCTCTGTTCTTTTCACTTGTGAAGCAGTAGACACCATAACTGTAAACACTTCTCTTACAGATGGAAACTACGTCGTTTCATCAGGGGGAACATTTGAAATGGGATTCTTCAGCCCAGATAATTCTATCAACAGGTACATAGGAATATGGTACAAACAAATTTCAGTGAAAACAATTGTATGGGTGGCCAATAGAGAAACCCCTTTTAATGATACTTCAGGAGCTTTGAAGTTGACAGAGAATGGGAATTTGGTACTTGTCAATGGTACTGATGGAGTTGTTATGTGGTCATCCAATTCCACTGGTGGTACTATGAGTATGAGTCCGGTGGCACAACTACTCGACTCGGGAAATCTTGTCATACGAGGTTCGAGGGACGGAAATTACACTTGGCAGAGTTTTGATCATCCAACAGACACGGCCTTGCCTGGGCTGAAAATGGGGAAGAATTTAGTGACGGGCGTTGACCGGATTCTATATTCGAGGAAGAGTAACAACGATCCTTCGCGGGGAGACTATATGTATCTTATGGATACTCATGGATATCCACAACACATGATGATGACTGGTTCGACTGTTCGTTTTCGATCAGGACCATGGAATGGTTTGGCGTTTAGTGGGTCTCCAGGCCTAAAAACGAATCCGATCTACACATTTCAATTCGTGTTCAATCAAGAGGAAGTATACTATAGCTTTGACCTCGTTAACCCTCATGTTTACTCAAGGCTTGTATTGGATCCGGATGGAGTTCTTCGACGATTTTCGTGGAATAATAGAACACAGGTTTGGACTAATTTGGTTAGTGCACCAGCTGATAATTGTGACATTTATGGACAGTGTAATGGATATGGTAAATGTACAATTGGTGAGTCTCCGATTTGTAGTTGTTTGGATAAATTTAAGCCTAAAAACCCGAAAGATTGGCTCTCGGCCGTTTGGTCAGATGGTTGTGTTCGTAGAACGCCGTTGAATTGTAATAGCGATGGTTTTGTAAAGTATTCTAGAGTTAAATTACCTGATACAAGAAAATCTTGGTATAATTTGAGCATGTCACTTAAGGAATGCAGGCAAATGTGTAAGAATAATTGTTCTTGTATGGCTTATTCCAATATAGATATAAGAGGGAAAGGAAGTGGTTGCTTTCTTTGGTTTGAAGATCTGATGGACATTAGATATTACGATGGAAACGATGGTCAAGATATCTATATTAGGATGGCATCCTCTGAGTTAGGTATGTTTTAATACATATTATTGCCATAAAGAATGCCGTTATTGCAAGGCAAATGGTAAAGTTCACATGAAGGGTGAACTAACTTTGCAAAACAGTTAATCGGCCACTTCTTATCGTTTTTGTTGTACGTTAACTAAATATTTATAATGCCTTATAATGATGTGTTGTAAACTCTGATAGGCTCAAGTGGGTTGAGAAAGAAGATACTTAGGGCATGTTTGGCATCACTTGGGGCAGTTCTTATATTGTGCCTCATACTCATCTCATTTACTTGGAAGAAGAAGAAGAGGGTTAGAGAAAAACAGCAGCAGGTGCAGCAACAGCTGACTCGAGAAGGTGAATGCTCTATATATTTTTTATATTTTTGATCAAGCAGATTGCATCATTTTCTGATTTAAAACTTGTTGAGGATTTAAATTTAAATTTATATGTCGCTTCTTTAAAAGTTTAAACTTTTAAATGTGGCATTTATCCTGGTAGTAGAGCCAAAAAATGGTGGGTTTGATTCTTCGTTGACACCCATTAATGAAAATTGTGTACTGGTGGAGTATTTGATGAAAAATAAATTTCAACTGCACATGAAGGGTGTGTTGAAGATTAAGCCCATGTTTGATTTGGTTAAATATCAAATTTTTTGATGTAACGAGTATATTCCATTTTTTTCACAGGATCAATAGGAAGCAGTTCAAGACAATTTTACACAGCAGAAAATGACAATGGAGATCTTGACCTACCATTGTTTGATGTAACAACAATATTAGAAGCTACCAATTACTTTTCACCTGGCAACAAGATTGGAGAAGGTGGATTTGGACCAGTGTACAAGGTAAATTCTATATTTTACTCGGTAATTTAAACTATAATTATAACATAATAGTAACCTAAATTATTATTTATATCAAAATTGCTCAGGGTGTACTCAGAAAGGGGAAAGAAATTGCTGTGAAGAGGCTATCAAAGTATTCAATACAAGGAGATGACGAGTTCAAAAATGAAGTAATTTTAATTGCAAAGTTACAACATAGGAATCTTGTGAATCTTATTGGATGTTGCATTCATGAAGAAGAGAAAATTCTTATCTATGAATTCATGCCTAACAATAGCTTGGACACTTACATATTTGGTTAGTTTTTCTCAAGACTATACCATATTTCATTTCGTTAAGGTCGTCTACATAATATCGTCATGTCCAGTGCTGTTACCAAATATGCTAGTTGAATCATTTGCTAAATGAGAAATTTTTGCAGATAAGGATCGAGGTAGATTGTTGGATTGGGAAAAGCGGTTTCAAATTATCAATGGAATTGCTCGTGGATTACTTTATCTTCATCAAGACTCCCGATTGAGAATCATTCATAGAGATCTAAAGGCTGGAAACATTTTGTTGGATGCTGATATGAACCCGAAAATATCAGACTTCGGCATGGCGAGAAGTTTTGGAGGGAATGAAATTGAAGCAAACACACGAAGGGTTGTCGGTACATAGTAAGGATTCCAACATAAGTTATGCATGCTTGACTTGTTTGATGAGTTAGGTTGCACACTGGACAATATTATTAAAGAAGAATAAGTTGAATCTTGTCTTTATACTGTTGAGTTCTGGATACTAAACATTATCTAAGCTCTCTTTTCTTTCTTTAAATGACAAAATCTCAATATAATTGTTGTTTTGCAGTGGCTATATGTCACCCGAATATGTGGTTGATGGTCACTTCTCAGTCAAATCTGACATATTCAGCTTTGGTGTCCTCATTCTGGAAATCATAAGCGGACAAAAGAACAGAGGATTTTTTCATCAAGATCACCATCACAATTTGCTTGGACATGTAAGTTTTTGGTTTCTTACTTTAATTCTTCCAACATTCTTAACTCCTCAAATTCTTACATCTAACTTTGATTCTTTCCACTCATCAATTAGGCATGGATTCTACACAATGAAGGACGATCTCTAGAATTAATCGACTCACATTTAGCTCAATCGTGCTACTTGTCTGAAGTACTTCGATCAATGCATGTCGCTCTATTATGTGTACAGAGAAATCCTGAAGATCGGCCAAATATGTCGAATGTTGTCCTAATGTTGGCAAGTGCAGGGGCATTGCCTAAGCCTAAAGAGCCCGGTTTTTTCACAGAAAGAAATTCATTTCTTGGATTTGAAACTTCATCAAGTAAGCCTACGGTAAGTTCTGCCAATGAATTGAGCTTCACGGAAATGGAAGGTAGATAAAAATATATAAAGAATTAGTGCCATAAATGCATATATTACTCATTTATATTAAAATTTTCATTCAACGAAAACATTTTATCAATCTATGTCTTTTATCAATTTATGTGTTTTATGAATTTCTAGCGTTTCTTCAATTTTTTGGTCTTAAAATTTATTTATGTATGATCTAATCACTGCAGTCTATACTATTGTTGATATTAGAGTCTCTTGTAGGCAATGTGTTGTAAAAGAATGAGAAATTTTGGAAATGAAATCAGTATTATATGTCTTTCTATAAAAATGGACAATATCTTAAAAGAAAAATAAATAGGCAACAACTATGTCGCCATTCTTAACCTAACATAATATGTAATCACTTATATACAGTTTCAATTCATTTACTTAATCAAAAACTTCACAAGTTCTAGAATAAATTGGAAGGAGTAGATGATGTAAACGAAGGGAAATTTAGTCTTGGATGAGGTTTATTTCTTGTTTGGAGCGCCCAAACTTATTGGGCCATCCAATGTGTTTTTGGGGTTTGGCTAACAATTACTAGGGATGACAATTTGNGCAAAAAATTTAAATATGCTTAAAATAATTTTAGCCAGTTTATTAAGTGACAGTCTTATCTGGAAATTTCACTTTGTTAAGTGACGGTCTTCATTTACACTACTTTAATAGCATGTTTGACGCATGGTACTATATAGAATTAAGTGAGAGAAAAAGTCTTGAATATCGAGAACTCCACTTGGCATATAGAATTTCTTTCACAGGGGTTTTACTGAATGCACACAATGGAGGGGGTGAATATTTTTGTGGTAATATTTTACTCATATAGGATTCACCCCGTGTGAGTATTTTGATTCCATTCTGTAATGCATTATTCTGTACACACAAAATAATGCTAACGAGAAACATGAAAAAGAAGATCAATTCTTTCTTTGAAATGTCTAATGTTTGGCCTAAGCGGCAAATGACAGTCTAGGCGCTAGAAGGCATACCATCTATTTATTTATTTTTATTTTTTAAATAAAATGTTATTAATCATCTTATTAAAATAATCAAAATAATGCTCTCATAAAAAAATAATTATTGATTTTCTCAGAATAACATAAATAATATTAGAAATAGAAAAAAATTGTATTACATCTAGGCTTCGCATAGGTACACCAAGAGTCATAGGGAGGTCCTCACGCCTTTTACAACCTTGCTACTAGAGAGCCGTGTGCGAGTTGTTGAATTTTATTTTTAGTGTCTTTAGAAATTGGGAGTACGCAACATTAGATATGTCATATTATGGGTTCATCATCTAACCGAAATCACGTAGAAACAACATTTAAAGATTTTCGTTAATAATACGTTTGAAAAAAAATTCATTTTTTTGATCCCACAGTTCAACTTGTTTGGGTCCTGGGCATTGTTGACATATAATTTTAGCAACAACTGACCTCACATGACCTCATGTGGGTCCGTCAGTGACAATGCCTAAAAATTAGTTATGCCAAGTTAAAAAGAAAAGTTAAAAAAGTTTTTCAGTGTCATTTTTTGGTCCTATACAAATGTATAAAATCCAAGTAGACTGACCTTTTCTGCTATCACTGAGATAACTTGGACATTAAAATATGGGGCGAATGTCATTTAGCTTTTGTTGGGACTTTTGGAAAGAAAGAACAAAAATTTCACTTCTTAGTGCTTTTTAGTTCTTGGAAGCTTTAGGACTTTTGAAGATGCTTATTTTGAAAGAGGAATGAGAAGAGCCACTCCGAATTTTCATCAAGTTTTGTGGGATTAATTTCTAGGGATTCGGGATGTGTTGTACAAAGACGACAAGATCGACCATTTTATTCATGATGGATAATATTACAGTAGGTGATATTTACGGTTCTTTTTGTTTTTCTAATAATCTCAATTAATAGTTTTTGTAAAGTGAAAATTTTCCTTTATATCGACATTGACACACACAAACCACCCTAAAGAGTTGGCATATTCAAACTACTTTAAAGGCGTTGCAAAATGGACATATCCTATTAAAAAAAATAAATAAATAAATAAATAAATAAAAATCCAACCTTGAGGGCCTCACCACCCTGCCCCTAGAGTATCGTGAGTGAGGTAAATCGCAGGATGTGTCCCAACAGGTCAGGAAACAAGAGCTTGTATATATCAGGAATCGAATTCTCACACTACGACTGCCAACAAGACTAAGACTACTTCACTCCTGTCATTTGCATCACTGGGATATGTCCCGAAAGGCGAAAGAAGAAGAAAATACAAAAAGAGGCACAGGATGAGCATATTTGATAGTACATTAAATCAATTATACAACTCATTCGGAGTTAGAATACAAAGATGAGGGAAAATTTTGGAGGAAAATTTCTGGTTTCCTTATATGAATCCAACTCTTGTAGAAACAATACGAGGGACGTCTTTTAAGGCCTACTGCCGTCTAGAAATAGAGGGAGACACATTCTAACATATTTTAGGAGCATAGAAGGAGACAAGAACTACCAAGATCGATTCCAGGACTCAAAGATTAAATTTAAAATTTATTTGGGTGATGTGGATTCTTCAATATATATTTTTGTTTTCTTCCTCATAATATGTTAGGCTAGATTTCTTTGTGCCACGATAATGATGAACCTTGTAATATGAATTTTTTATCTTTAGTTTTACATATTTGACATTGAAAACATGTTTTTGAAATTTGAATGATTTATATGATTATCAGTTCTCTACAATTATTGTACACGATAGTTGTATGAATTTGGTCGGTTATTTTATACATTTGAAAGAAGGAAAATAGGCTCGACATATGGTAAATCACCATAGGGTTTGATATGGAATAAAAATATATCGTTACTTTCTATGTAAATCTTTAAGTGTCCATAAAAATTCACTCACTCTTGTATGTTCTCATCCGTCAAATAAATATAATCGAATCATATATAAGAGTACGTTTAACATTATTCAAGAGAAATTATTGAATAAAGTAGGAACATTGATTATTCAAAATTTAATTGTGTTGTCAAAGAATAAAACTAAGATATATAAGCATTATTACATGAAAATTCGAGATCCCGGTGTGCTTGTCATCGATTAGAACACATCAAATTGTGTTCAGCATAACTCGCATTTAGCCTAATTAATTTACTCATAATTGCATAAGTAGATCATTTTAGTCATAATTCTATCACAAAGAAACACATCACATTATTATTATTTCGGTTAACATCGTGATAATTAAAATTGAACTAAATCAATTTTTATGGGATGATATTTAGACTCAAATCAACTTTATTACTTGTTAATAAACGGTACACTTGCTGTGATTTTAAATTGAAAGATATTTTCGTGAACAATACTTTCTAGGCTAAAGTTTCGATGCCAATTCTTAAAGATTAACACGAGGGTACTCAAATACGAAGAAAACCTTGGCATGGTAGACCAAATGTCCCATTATTCACCAATCTATTAGTGTTAAGAGTGATTTTCCACGCTAGCTAAATATAAAAATGATAATTAATATATAAAGACTCGAAATACTCATCTTAACAATTAAATTTATAAGGTCAAACTTCAGGAAACTTTGCATTAGAGTTTAAAAAACTCAAAACGAACATACTATTAATATTTCAAACTAATAAGCATATTGTGAATCATGTTAAAAATATCCCACCCCACCCAACTCTACCTAGGCCTTCATGTTATTGTTGAAATTGAAGTCAGTCAAATGTAGACAAGATAGAACACTAAATTGGGATGAAGTTTGTCATCCTCATTTTTAAATTAAAAGAGGACCCAAAGTCCAAATGTACCTAACCAAACCACCCTCTTCTAGCATGAATTTGATTTCCTTTGTTTATAAATTCATTCACACTGAAACAAGAACTTCCCCAAATTCCTTCACTGCCCACAAACTGTCAAGGTCAATGGAGAATCACTTCAAAATGCGATTTCGATCATCCCTCATATCATGCAAATCCAAAAACAGCATCGACGATATTGAGGATCCGGCTTTTATTCCTAAGACACTCAGAATCATCAAAACTACCAGTTGATCGAGTATTACTCACCACATCCTCGTCCATTTCCACTCATGTGCAGACACAAATGGCCGGAAAAATTATCCGAGGAGCGAAATGCCTACTTGTTTCTACTGAAATCGATGGTCGACAGTGCCCTCCGGTATCTCCCATTTCACCTTTCAATGCACACTACGAGTTCCAAAAATTTCATTCAGAGAAGAAGACTAGAAAGGCCACAAACAAGAAGGTTCATTCAAAGACTAAAAAGTGCGATTTTCATGACAAAGAAGAATTCACTACTGAAAAATGCGGCATCGGTAATGGATTTAAGGCAGGGGCTCGGTCGAGAAGAGCTCAAAGGAAGATTCCTAAGGAGGGTTTAATGACATTACAAGAAGGGGTTAAAGATAGCTTAGCAGTGGTGAAGCGTTCGAGTGATCCATATACTGATTTCAGAACATCAATGGTGGAAATGATTGTTGAAAAGCAGATTTTTACGGCAAAAGAACTTGAGAATTTGTTGCAGTGTTTCCTTTCTTTGAATTCTTACCATCATCATAGGGTTATTATTGAAGTTTTCTACGAAATCTTGGAAGCTTTCTTTGTGTCTTATGTGTAACAACAATGCTTCATGTACATCATAGTAAACAACTTTTTGTTCACTCCGTCACGTATCAAACTTTGATTTGACAGTTTAAAAAAAATCAGACTTTCCATCAATCACACGTTGACCTTGCTTTGTAGTTTATTGCACAATTCGAAATTCACAAATTGCTTTCGAATTTGTTTGATTAAATTTATATAAAAAAAAAAATCTTAATTAGAAGAGTTTTCAAAGAAAGTTAGTTCAATATTACTTCCTCTAAACATTCTTTTGAGAAAAGATTTTTTTTTAGACAATTAGTTCCCAAATATCAATTAAAGTAACTTCCTCATAGAACCCTTCTACAAAAAGGATTCATGTACATCATAGTGTATAGCTTTGTGTACACTCCATCACGTACCAAACACTGATTTAACAATTTAAAAAAAAAAAAATCAAACTTTCCATCAATCAGACATTGACATCGCTTTGTAGTTTATTGCACAATTCAAAATTCACAAATTTCTTTTGAATTTGTTTGATTAAATTTATAAAAAAAAAATTCTCTTAATTAGAAGAGTTTTCAAAGAAAGTTAATTCAATATTACTTTCTCTAAAAGTTCTTTCGAAAAAAGAATTTTTTTAGAAAGTTAGCTCCCACATTTCAATTAAAGTAACTTCCTCATAGAACCCTTCTACAAGAAGGGTTCATGTACATCATAGTGTATAGCTTTGTGCAGGGGCGGACCCACATGGGGTCAAATGACCCCACAAAATTTTGCCCCTTTTTTTTTTTTTTTTTTTTTTTACAATCTACTTTGATGCACTCGTCGGAATGCCAAATGAAGTTAAAATATTACATTCTTAATATCATTTCAAAGTGCTCATGGCCTAGTTTTTCACTCATTAATGACATGCGAAGTGGTCAACTATAGCAAAAGTTATGACATGTTAAAATATGCAGTTTGAAAGTAGTATTTTGAGAATTTCGATAATATCCCAACTTTAAAAATTCATTTGCGATCATGTGCTATCTGAATCCACAAATTGTCTATGCCATGTGAAAGTTTGTTTCGAAAATTACATCGTTTTCATATCAAATGGTCCAAACGGATATCGAAAATAGTTAAATACGTATCAAATGTATACCTCAAAAAAGACGTCTAACTTTTTTTTTTTTTTAAATTCAGTTGCTTATTATTTTTGCACGATAAATTTTTCAATATAATTTATATTGTTTCATTCGGAAGTCTTACATGAAATATGACGTAAATTTTTCGGGGTCGTTACGGATTAAATACAATTTTAATTACTTTCAAATTATATTTGCTACAAATTTGAATTTCATTTACTTCCTGAACTAAACTTGAATTTTATTTCAATTAATTTAATTTCTATATTCAATTTAATTTACTCAATGTTACTTCAGCATTTGCCAGTGAAATGATAAACAAAACTATACAAGTAACAAAATTTATTTAATGATATTAACAACGATGTAATTATACAACGTTTTCAAAGTGTCAAAATACATATTAACTTATTTTTATTGATAATATGTTGTTTATTAAAAAAAATTATTTTTTAAAATTTTGACCCCACAATACTAAAGTTCTGGGTCCGCCCCTGGCTTTGTGTGCACTGCGTCATGTATCAAGTTCTGATTTGATAGTTTAAAAAAAATTAGACTTTCCATCAATCACACGTTGACATTGCTTTGTAGTTTATTGCACAATTCTAAATTCACAAATTCCTTTCGAATTTGTTTGATTAAATTTATAAAAAAAAAAAAATCTTAATTAGAAGAGTTTTCAAAGAAAGTTAGTTCAATATTACTTTCTCTAAAAGTTTTTTCGAAAAAAGAACTTTTTTTAGATAGTTAGTTCCCAAATATCAATTAAAATAACTTCCTCATAGAACCCTTCTACAAGGGTTCATGTACATCATAGTGTACAGCTTTGGCAGTTTAAAAAAAAAAAAATCAGACTTTCCATCAATCACACGTTGACATCGCTTTGTAGTTTATTGCATAATTCGAAATTCACAAATTGCTTTCGAATTTGTTTGATTAAATTTATTGAAAAAAAATCTCTTATTTAGAAGAGTTTTCAAAGAAAGTTAGTTCAATATTACTTCCTCTAAAAGTTCTTTCGAAAAATGAAATTTTTTTAGACAGTTAGCTCCCAAATATCAAGTAAAGTAACTTCCTCATAGAACCCTTCTATAAGAAGCAAAAACCTTGTCAAACATGCCCTAATTGCAACGATTGTAGCCTTTCTCTATCTTATCATTTTGTGGAGGGTTAACACTAATGATTGGTTTCGGTATTCAATTTAAGTCTCTCTTAAAGGTTTTTATTAACTACTCAGGAATATGAACAAAACAAGTGCATCCAAACGCTTGAAAATGCCTACAGTACTGCCCCAGTATGCGAATTAAATTCATGTTGGAGTCCAACAAGCACGTGAACAGCCCCTAAGCCATGGAAAAAGGGACAAGATGGAGAAAGTTTGTGATCGATTCGCTATTAAAAAGGAAAATTATCGGAATGCAATTATCTAAGGAAGTAAAGGCGCGGGGCAAAAAACCAACTCGACCAGCCTAATCGAAGTGGAAAATAACGATTTTCTTTTATTTTTGTCCCTTGTAACCGAAGGAAGTATTGTAAATGATTCGAATAATAATACAAGAGGGAAATATTTATTGCATTATAATTAGGACAGCACCTAAACTATCAAATCTTAAAAGTGATATGGTCAAATGTCTCACTCAGGATTTTGGCTTCATGCCTCAGGACAAATAATCCAAACTATAAATTTATGTTAATAATTTATAAAATAAGCAAATATTATATATTATGTGTTACGTACATTTATATGGTAATGTTAGTAATCAAATCCAATGAATTAACACAAAATATTAATAATTCAGGCTAAAAAATACAATAAACACCCTGTCATTCAGTTTCAGTTGGCTACAATAAAATAGTAATAAGGTTATTTTAGAATAAATTTTGTGAAAAATGATTATTTTGAAGTATATATGGTTAAAAAGTAGGAAAAAATTATGGGTTCAAGTGTAAAATTATTTTATGATAGAATATGATTTAAAAAAATAAATAAAAATCTATACCAAACAGAACGTAGAGAAATTCTAACGAGTCGTACAGGCACAAAAGATTTGAATGTGGAGATTTGAGTTTCGACTCTCGAGCCACTTTTAATTTGAGAAAAAGCTTTGGCAGTGAGATGTCATTTGTCTATGGTTATAATTGTTGCATTATAGAATTTGTGATTGCTGACAGGTTTTGTATTATTCTACAGCATGAGCAGGAAATAAGTTGATAAAATTAATTTGTTATTTTTGTGTGTTCGAAGTATTCAACGCCCTAAATAAGTAAGGCGATTTTTGGATGAAACCATCCAAAATATCTACCATATTTACTATAAATGATGGAATTTCATCATGTTTGATATTTAAATTAAAGTCAACAACTAATTTTAACTATACATTTTATGTGATTCAAAATTTTTCAATTTCATATTTCATCAATTTTTATTAAAATCTACTAAAAATATAATTTTGATCTCCATCAAACAGGGGCTTTGCCACGTTTGGTATATGTTTTTTAAAATTATTTTTCAACTACATATTTTTTGAATAAAATAATTTTATATGTAAATTCATAACTTTTCATACTTTTAACTACACATGCTTCATATAATTCACTATTACAAAATTCATTCTAAAAAAATTGTTAGGCAAATTGTTGTCAAATGACTTTTCGGGCGATGTGTAACTCGGTATATTTTCTTAGTCGACATCGATCAAATGACTGAATGGTAAATCGACACTTCAATGAAATGACCAGACCCCAAAACTATTTGAATCATTAGAAGCAGTTTAATTTAATTAGTGCTGCTCATGGTCCGCTCCCCACTTATTTGGATGGCTTACAAATGGTAACCCACTTATTGATACACTTAATTCACTTACCCTCCTATTGGGCTTGACCCATAACCGTAGCCTAATGTTACCTATTTAATTGGCTGTCTCTCTTTTGGCCCTGGCATGCTTTTTCTCTACTTCCTTTGCCTTTAAGAAAAGGACCATACTTGGACACTATGGACACCATTATAGTGTTCATTATGTCGAAGTAGAATAATCTTTAAGAAAAATAGGTGATTTTTTCTCTTTGATTCTTGGTATACTGTTTTTCTTCCCCATTCTTGTTTTTGGGGCTGATCTTATACTGTGACTACACCTACTTTAGCGTGTCCTTTGTTGGTGATAAAAAAGCAACCATAAGTGTGAGAGGTTGAAGGGTTTTTTGGTTCGGTTTCTTCATTGAGTTGTGAAGGTGTTTTGAGCCCAGGGAAAGGCCTTGGTGATTAAGTATCACACCTCACAAAAATTTAAATCAACCAGACCCTTAATAAGTCCATGTTTAAATGTTACAAATGACTTTGCAACAAACGTTGAAGATCTTGTTTAAGGAAAAACGGAGAGTATAAAAGTAAGAGCATATTAATATTTGTTTAAGATGTCTATGGTGGGAAAGATTTAGAGCAATGTTTAAAACTTTGGCATGTAAAATTATGCATATGTTCAAGGCACTTGTGTCAACTCATGTCCATTACCCTGCTCGACTACTTTTAACATATGCAAAATTAAAATTGTACATGAATAAACTATTTCGTGTATAATTTTTGCTAAAAGTCACAAAAAATTAATGAAAAATAACTTAGTAATGCTTACAAATTAATCTGTCCACTTTATCTTTGATCAGAAACTCTACACCGTCACGGCCCTTTAGATAAATTAAACTGTCAATGCAAACACAATGCATGAAATATATTTTCACGAAGTTTAAAGAACCACATAGATGGCATCTTCGAACCAATTCTACCGTTAGATACAAATTCAAATTGGACCATTTTTAGCTCAATTGTTGACTTGAATAAATTGGTTATATTCATGACCCCTCCCCACCACCCCCACCAAAAAAAAAAAATCCGTAACCATTAAGTCATGGCACTGAA